GGGGTGGGAGCAGCACGCCTGGCAGGCAGCGGGATGGCGTGAGGCTCTCCAGACACCCCCCGCCGCACCCTCACCTTCAGACTGCTTCTCTGCGCCTTCCAGTAAAGCTACTCCTCTCTCCAAAGTTATCAAGCCCTCATGGAGAAGAAAAAAGAAACCAAACCAAACCCGGCAGCACGTGGGTCCTGCAGCGCCGGCCACGAACGCCTCAGCACACCCCAACGCCGGGAGGGGTGGAGAAGGTGCCGTTCATCCCCCGGCACTGGCTGTGCTCCGTGCAGGGATGAGCGCTGTGTCTTCGTCCGTGCCTCCTGCCCTCTCCGACGGCGCCTGGCCCAGGGAGCGCAGCACAGCACAGCTCTGTGGCTCCAGCTCCCCCAAACCATCTTCAAACGTCCCCTGCCCGACCCTAGGAGGAGAGCTCCATGAGGGGAGGTTATTCTGCAAGGAGAGGAGAGAGGGCTTTCCTCCAGCCCGAGGGGTGCACGGGCTGTAAATCAGCCCCACTTTGAAGCCACTAATTGAGCTGCTTCTGTTAACACCTAGGTACAAAACAAGGCAGCGGGGATACCAGCCCCCAAACCATCTTCAAACGTCCCCTGCCCGACCCTAGGAGGAGAGCTCCATGAGGGGAGGTTATTCTGCAAGGAGAGGAGAGAGGGCTTTCCTCCAGCCCGAGGGGTGCACGGGCTGTAAATCAGCCCCACTTTGAAGCCACTAATTGAGCTGCTTCTGTTAACACCTAGGTACAAAACAAGGCAGCGGGGATACCAGCGTTTCCACTGTACCAGTTAGACACCAAACTCTCCCAACGAGACGCTGGGCTGCCCGCAGAGGCTCAGGGATGTCCTCGGCGCCTGCTGGGCACAGGAGCCCTTTGCCTCGGCTCCCTGCCTGTGTGGGAAAGCGGAGCTGCTCTGGGATCCCTGCCCGCAGGGCTTGCGGGAAGAGCCAAGGGAAAGGCCATGTCTATATTTGCTGCCCCGTCCCACTCTGCTGAGCGCTGCCAGTAAGGGACGTGTGTCACCTCACCCGAGGAAGGGGCAGCCAGCAGCAGCCTGCCCGCACCTTCCTGCCTCCCTCCGTCTGCCTTTGTTAGCCAGGAAACAGTGGTGTTTCCATCAAAAAGCTCAAAGTTATCCTTTTTACTTTCCCACACACGCTTTATTTCCCTTTCCAACACAGTTTAAGCTTCAAGCGTGTGTAACAAAAGCATTTGCAATGAGGCCAAGAGGTGTTTTGTTAAGGGAGGAGTCAAGCAGCCTGGGTAACGCATTCCTTTAAAATACGTACTTGTGAACATGGTGACAAATTACACAGAGATGTTTTGGCCACGTATTTTTACAGGTCATTGGTCACCTGAGGTCTGAATTGGGATGGTGGCTGCGTGATGCAAAGCAAGCTGCTAACAGGAAAAAAAAATAAATGCTTTAAATACTGGGGAATTCTCTTGCGATGGCTTAGAGCAGCGACCTCAGCATGGGTTGGCGAGAATGTTGAGAAGTATTTGGCAAAGACTTCGTGTAATGTGGAGTCTCCTCAGGGAGCGGCTCAGTTCCCGCATACATCAGAAGAACCAACTGCCGTGGTTTCAGCGCAGTGAAATCCCCGCGCTAGCAGAGTTCAGATTAACCCCTCGAACCAGGCTGCTTTCCTACCTGAGGCCACGCAGGAGCCATCTGGACCCGCCGAGACCATCAGGCTCAGAGCAGCCCGTCCCTCTGCCTCTCTGCCACCCACGTTTGCCGTCCCATTTTGCCCCAGTAACCGACTGAGCTCCAAAACCTCTCAGGCAGGAGCTGCCCCGGCAGCTGAGCCCTGCGATAGCGGGTCTGTGCCTGCTGAGCCGGAGCCGCCGAGGGCGACTGGCTTTATCTTGCTCTGCCATCCCTTCCCCGTGCAGCAGAAATCGGGCCAAGCAGATGGCAGCGGCAGAAGCGCAGGCACGTACGGAGGGGAGTCTGCCCCCCGTGCCGCTCTGTGCACCGACGCTGCCCGGCTCCCACTGGAAACACGTGAGGTTTCCAGCAAAACCAGGGGTTGAGCTGCCGGCGGTGCTCTCGGCTTTCCACACACCCCCCCGGGCAGCGCAGCAGCCCAGGACATCGCCCGCAGCCCCCAGGTTTGGGTTTGTGTTTTTTTTAAAAAAAAAAAAGTTAAGCTTGCATAGGAGGCAATTTAGAAAATAAGAAAGAGTGCTGATAAAGAACTGATTGAACAGCAAATCTGAACGTTGTCAAGATATATCAAGATAGGGCCACGAAGCTGATCCGAGGGCTGGAGCCCCTCTGCTGGGAGGACAGGCTGGGAGAGTTGGGGGGGTTCAGCCTGGAGGAGAGAAGGCGAAAAAGGGGAGAGCTCAGAGCCCCTTCCAGTGCCTAAAGGGGCTCCAGGAGAGCTGGGGGGGGACTTTTTGCAAGGGCATGGAGTGATAGGAACGGCTTCAAACTGGAAGCGGGGAGATTTAGATTAGATATTAGGAAGAAATTCTGGAGGTGTTCAAGGCCAGGTTGGACGGG